CGACCTAGGGCTCCGGCCTGGACCCCGCTGCCCGCCATGGTCCCGCCCGGCCAGCCCTGAGCCCCGCGCCGGAGTCGGGGCTCTGCCCCCGGCCCCGCCCGAGAGTCTCCACCAACTTCTGCTCGGAAACTCCACTCTGCCCCTTCTTTTGGCCCAGGGCGACCTCGGGAGCCCTGACAGCACAGACCCTCCGGAGTACCCAGAAAGGGCCCCAGGGTGGTCAGGCGCCTCCCTGGCTCTTTCTGGATGGAGGCGCCTCCGGAAGGACCCGGCTGAATGCTTTGGCCTTCACCTGGCGGCCTCTGCTGACCACACCTCCCCGAGTGCAGAGGCTGCCTGGGAGCAGAAAATGCTGCACCAGGTGAGGCCTGGCGGGTAGCTAGCTACAGGTATCTGACGACCGTTTGGGAGAGAGGGGGGTACTGGATGTGGGGCCACCTCTTCAAGGAGCAGGGTGGACTCTCAGGAGCGCCTGGGCACAGGGCCAGACCCCAGCTGACTACTAGACACCCGCCTTCCCAGGGAACTGGGGTGGCATCTGACACATGTGGCCTGCTGTGGCCTTGGGTGGTTGGGCTAGCCCCCAGAGCAGTCTGGGAGGCACGAGGCCATGGAGGCCAACAGAATTGACCATACTTTGAGGGGAGCAGGGGAGATGAGAGATGGACGAGTCTCTCTTTTGTCTGAGAGCTCCCCCAGATGTCCCTTCTTGGTCTCCAGTCCCGCTCCCTTGTGAGGGCCCAATCCCCAACTGCACCACTGCCCCTAGCCTCTGTCCCCTGGCACTGGGCTGAGATGGAGCCCTGTGAAAAGTTAGGAGAAGCAGCTCTGAGACAGAGCTGAAACAGACACTGAGCTTCCTAACTGCCTGCACACTCCCTTCTCTGCTGTGGCCTGCACTGTCCTGCTCGGGGGTGGCCTGAGGCAGAGGTGGAGAGCTCTTTGAGGTCAGTGACACCTGGCTGGGGGATTGCAGCACTCCTACCCATCCGAACAGCTTCATTTCTCCCTCTCAGCACAGCTGGCTCCCAGCGATCCCAGTCTGACTGCCAGGATGGAGCTGGGGCCAGCAACCGAAACCTTTGTGTTGGAGCTGAGATGTCTTGAGGATGGGGGTCCAGCGCCCGACACCTTCTCAGGTGAGCCCCAGCGAGGGTCCTTTGACAGAGCCCCAGGCTGCTGTGGCAGAGAGGCCTGAGGGTGGAGTGGTAGGCGGCTTGCTGTCTGGAGGTGGAGCGGCTCACACCAGCCAACTTCAGTTGCCTTGAGTAACAGTGGCAGGTTTGCCTTGGGATTTTCCGAGGTGGCTCTGACAGGCTGAGGTCTCACATGAGAGTGGCCCCTGGCAGTATCGACAGCCTCAGCCCTGACCCCCACATATGTGCTGCCTGGAACCTCCTGCTCTGTTTCCTGAGCAGTCAGGTGGCTTCCCCTGGCTTCCTATCTGGCCCTGGATCCCGACTCAAGTTCCCAGGAATTCAGGGGCTGAAGGGTCTCTTCCTCTGCCCTCGTGCCTCAGATATTAGCTCCATGGCTTCTTTCCCCTGAAGTCTCTAACCTTGTCCGCTATTCCTCAATCTCTGCTTTCACCTGTTTTCATCTACCTGATGCCAAGAAACCAATGTGGTCCTGCAGAACCTTCCAAGACCTCCTCCCTCTGGTGCCCACTCTGGGCAAACCTTCTGTGGTGGCCACACTTAAGAGATTCCGTTTCCCATTCTGTGCTTTGGGGGAGGTGAGTGAGGGTCTGGGGCAGGGTTGAACAGAGCTTGAAAAGGACCAGAGGAATTGGAGGGGTCAGATGGGGGTATGTGGACTAAACAAGGACTCTAATGACTTGTAAATTTAACTGACAAAAATTTTGCAAGGGTATATACATCAGACAACACTTAACTGTATGTTTACTAAAATGCCTTTGTTAAACATGCTGAAATTGCTTCCCCAGGATGTCAGTGACCATATGGGCAAGCACTGTGCTAGAATTTAGGAGGTTCTCACAGAGGCATGATCTGTCCCCTGTTGCTCCCAGAGAAGGTGGGAGAAGGGAGTGTCTATGAGACACTGGATTTGCTAGGGGGACAGATTTTCGTGGCTGTTTTCATCCACCTCCTGCATGCTCGCAACTGGTGTGAGTGTCTATGAAAAATGCACTCACTGATCCATTAGCCTAACCAAAGGTAATTAGGGATATTTTCCTAAAAGGTAATTATATACATGTAGATATCATTCGGTTTTATGAAATCAAAATATTCCAGAAAAGTGTCCTGAAAGCAAAATTTTGTAAATCAAATTATTGCTTTTTATTACAAAATTGAAAACATGTTGCTGTAGGAAGAACAGATGTAGAAGTCAGACTTGGGAATGGAGAAAGCCTCTTAGGATCACACATGTAAAGAAGAATTAGGATTTTCTGATAGCAGAATAGTAATAGTACAAATGAGAAAGTGAATGTGGACATTGTGCGGAACAGGAAACATGGCAGTGGAGTGACTCCTGTTTATGCAGGGCTTACTCTGTGCCTTGCATAACAGTGGACGTCTACATTTATCCTCTTTAATTCTCACAACATCCCTGAAAAGGATCATCTCCTTGCAGAAGGGGAAACTGAGGTTCCCAAAGATTAAGTAAATGACCAGTCAGTGTTGATTTGAGGCTTTAAGTTAGTCCTTTCCATTCCTGAATGACAATCTAAGATCATCCCAGTCTTTAAGCTGTTTCAAATGGAGCTAGTGTATACTTGGTTATTTCCAAACTGGTTGTTACTTTGCAAACTAATTCCTAACCTGTGGGGAGAGGGAATTTTCAAGCACCTACCAGGTTCTAGGGAACATGCCAGGACCCTTCTTATTTTATTCCTTAAGCTGACAGTGTGTGTATAGGTATCATTAAGCTATTTTACTGATGTGGCTGTGAGCCTGCAGGAGGCTGGACAGCTGCTCACTGGTTAGTTAGAGTTAGGTTCTGGACAGAGAACTTCCCACTTGAAACCTAGTGGTCTGACACTTTGGTAAATTTTAGAAACTATTTGTGATAACACTTCCAGGCAGCTTTACAGAAATTCTTTGTTATTTACAGAGAAGGCGAGTTTCATTTATTTAAGGTGTGACTGTAACTGAAGTCAGAGTTCACCATGGGGTTGATGGCCGGCTGTTAGGATGGCCAGTTCACTGATTTCCACTGGATGGTGATAAGCACAACAGACTTCTCAGGGAATGGTGTTGGGGATCCCCAGGCACCCCTGCTGTTATCTGGTATCAGTGCCAAGATCTAAGCATGGACCTTGTGTAAAGGGAGGCCCAGAGGAGGGGTCAGGGAACTGCAGTCCAGAGTAAGTTGACCGAAGTCCCTTGGGCACATTTCTAAGCCAACCTCTCCCCTCCTTCCCCCCAGGGCATTTCAGTTTTACCATGTTGCCATTGTCATTTGATCCAGCGCTTTTGGGTCCCTAATGAGATCTCATTAGTCTATCCTTGAGTGGTTGTACATGGGCAGGGTAAGGGGCAGGTTCTGGGGGCCTGGACCAGAAAGCTACCTGTAGATCTTTCTCTCCTGGTTTCCTGCCATTTCCACTACAGGTGGCAGCGGCGGGAACGAGAGTCAGGAGGAGGAAGAGGCTCAGGAAGGGAGCAGCAGCCCACAACAGCCAGCAGTCTCAGTGCCCATAGCAGCCAATGAAATCACTGAGGAAGCCCAGCTGGGACAACACGAGTTGCAACTGCAGCAGTTAGAACAGCAGCGAGAGATGCAGCAACAGCCACAGCATGAGCAGCTGCAACAGCAGCAACCACAAAACCAACTATTGGGACATCAGCCAGCATTGCAACAGCAGCAGCAGTCTCAACTACAACAGGAATTACAGGAAAATCACCAGTCAATACAACATCAGGAACTGAAACCACAACTGCAGCTAATGCAACAGCAGGAACAGTTACAACAACAGGAAGTGCAAGAGCAACAGCTGTTGCAGCAGCAGCAACAGCAGGAACAGTTACAGCAGCAGCAAGTGCAAGAGCAACAGCTGTTGCACCAACAGCAGATACAGCAGCAGCAGGAACAGTTACATCAGCGGCAAGTGCAAGAGCAACAGCTGTTGCAGCAGCAGCAGCAGGAACAGTTACATCAGCGGCAAGTGCAAGAGCAACAGCTGTTGCAGCAGCAGCAGCAGGAACAGTTACATCAGCGGCAAGTGCAAGAGCAACAGCTGTTGCAGCAGCAGCAGCAGGAACAGTTACAGCAGCAACCAGTGCAAGAGCAACAGCTGTTGCACCAACAGCAGATACAGCAGCAGCAGCTGCTACAACAGCAGGAACAATTACAGCAGCAACAGTTCCAACAGCAACAGCAGTTACTGTTGCTGCAGCAGCAGGAACAATTACAACAGCAGCAGCAAGCACAATTACAGCAGCAGTTGCTGCAGCAGCAGCAAGCACAGTTACAGCAGCAGCTATTGCTGCAGCAGCAGGAACAGTTGCAGCAGCAACAACAGCAACAGCTGTTGCAGCAGCAGCAGGAACAGTTGCAACAGCAGCAGCTGCAGCCTCATCCACTGGAGCCAGAGGAGGAGGAAGAGGTGGAGTTGGAGCTTATGCCAGTGGACCTGGGGTCCGAGCAGGAACTGGAGCAGCAGCGGCAGGAGCTGGAGCGGCAGCAGGAGCTGGAGCGGCAGCAGGAGCAGCGGCAGCTGCAGCTCAAACTGCAGGAGCAGCTGCAGCAGCTGGAGCAGCAGCTGGAGCAGCAGCAGCTGGAGCAGCAGCAGCTGGAGCAGCAGGAGGTGCAGCTGGAGCTGACCCCCGTGGAGCTGGGTGCCCAGCAGCAGGAGGTGCAGCTGGAGCTGACCCCTGTGCAGCCAGAGCTGCAGCTGGAGCTGGTGCCTGCCGGAGGGGGTGGTGGGGCAGCGGTCCCGGGGGCTCCGGCTGCAGTCGTGGTGGCCCCCCCGGGCTATGTGGTGCTGCAGGAGCTCATGGTGCTGCCCGCCGTGGCCCTGCTGTACGGCCA